TCTATCTATCTATCTATCTATCTATCTATCTATCTATCTATCTATCTATCTATCTCTCTCTTTCTCTCTCTCTCTCTCATATTGGGGTTTTCTCTCAGTGAAAGGTAAATTGGGGGCTGAACGCCAACGGGAGAAAGGAATGACAAAAGGTGGATCATCGATCAATGATAAGGTGCGCTTTTCAAAGGTAAATGTTTACTTGAGTACTACAAGTTTGGTTTATTATGAGGTCATGTTAGAATATATCCGCTCCTCAGTAAAGGGTCGGACACTTTAATGAAAACACACGTACCTCAGGAAGGTACCCTCTTGAAAATGACTCTGAAAGTGAGTTTTAATTTTCCTTAATGGGAACATTAATTGTAAAGCATTGTGGGGAGAAAAGGCGCTCGTCAAGATAATGAAATTGAAGAAACCGACATTTTTCCGACTGTTGGGGAAAAGTACACATCTGTATAATTTTACTGAAAACGTTGACCGAAAGGGCTCAAAATGTACAGTTATAGTCTCCCAGAACGCTTAAGCTATGAAAGACACCAAACGTGACGGACCATTTTTCTCGCTTATGTTACTTCTGACTCCAAGGGAGCCCACCTCCTTCAATCGAAAATATCTCGACTAGTATTCAAGAGAAATAGGTACCTTTTGCTTGAAAAGCAAGACAAAGCTTTCAGGTGGGGTCGTTAACTCCATAAACCCAAGAAATGACGCGCTCCTGATTCGGCCGCTTCATGGCACACTTTGCTAACTCAGAATTACAAAGTTCCTTCTGATATTTTTGGTTGTTTTGAGTTACTAAGATCATGAGGCCAGAAAGCAACTGCTCTAACTGCTCTACTGCTCTATCAAAATCGTGAGAATATTGGGAGTTGTTATCAAGATATTCAAAGAATTGTGTTGGAAAAAGCTTGACATACTGGGAAACTAAAAAAATGTTGACGTCAGATTTCTCAGAACTAGGTACTGAGCAGATCGAACTTTGTAATTCTGAAGTAGTCAGTCGTTATCTTCGCTTAAGATATCATATAATGGGATGAGGTCTATTAGTAAAGACCTATAATAGAAATAAAAATAAAACTGTATTTTTATAGCACAAATTCGCGTTCAACAGCACGCTTTCTACCCTTTACAATCTATAATATTATTACCCCAGTAGACCTGACAGCATTCTGAAACAATCTTGTCATCCTCCAGGAAAAAATACAGTGCTACTAACCATTCTATGAGGAGACAAAAATGGGAGAGGTGTCACTTCCAAGAAAGCTGTCGTTCTTGGGAACTAGGAATAACACTGAAATGTACTTCTGTGTGAAGTGGGGACAGCTCGTTCCCACTTCATGACAAGCTTCCTGTGTGTTACATTCTCATAGACACACAACGTGTCCTCCAGTGGCGGCTTGTGGTTTATAGAACTGACCGGCCGTCATTCACGTGACTATTTCTCCCTCCCCCCACCCCCTTCCGTCACAACACACACACACACACTCTCTCTCTCTCTCTCTCTCTCTCTCTCTCTCTCTCTCTCTCTCTCTCTCTCTCTCTCTCTCTCTCTCTCCTTCTCTTTCTCTTTCTCTCTCCCTCTCTCTCTCTCCTTATTCTATACCCCTACTTTCGTCATCCCCACTCACACACACACCACTGTGAACATTGTAATGATATAATGTGAAAGAGCTAAAATATGGTAGTGTCAAGAAACAATATTATGAATAACGTATGATGGAAGTTACTGAGATTAATATAAACCGACTTGATCGGCACAGAAAAAGAAACACTACTAGGCTAGAAAACAAACTAAAAGTGAGAGGCAATAAACTGTTGGTCCTGGCCTCCAGTATTTTACTCGTACTTTCTACACCCCACACAAAATATCGACATGCACTGGACCTATTAAATATGTAATAAAAGCTGTCCTGTATGATTACAAAAAGTCAATTGATACCGTACCAGTGACGCTGTCCCAAGTAGATCAACGCTAAGGATACTATACAAGTTACAAAGCACACAACAGTTTCCGATCATTAATCATCAAATGTTCTTCATCGCCCTTCCTAGTTCTCAGAACAGATCACTGTGTTGAAACAAAGTGGGGAAGTGTGTCAAATGCTAATTATAGAACTTGGTGTCTAGCTGGGGTGACGGTGGAAAAGGAGAGGGAAGGGAGGGGGTAGGTCCATTGTTTTCGGCCCAGACTCTGACAGCCGAGTGCCTATCGCTCCTCGTTAAAATTCTCCTTATATATCTTCACTAGACGATTCCTCCTTTCGCCGGCCAGGCTCCTATGGGCCAGGTAAGTTATAAGTGGGGAGAAAACGATGAATGAATGCCAAAAAGGAACTATAGGTGGTTAAAAGGTCAAGAAACAAAAAAGATTAGTGCCATGCTGACAATAAATGTTCTGATAGTAGTTAGAGAAAGGCTGAATGATAAATACATGTTTTGCTGAAAAAATAATACATGTGTCTGTGCTGCTCATGACAGTCTCATTCTTGATTTTGTAAGCTACAAAGAGGCCAATTTGGCAATTAAGGGATGTACTATTCACTCTGAGGACAGTCGATGGATTTGTCCACAGGACTCAGACTGACGTCAACGCCGTGTTCGGTTTAGCCTCGTACGTAGTACGAAGTTCCGCGACGTGACGGCTTGACTGGAGACGATTTAAAGTTACGAGCCGGCGCGATAACAAACATGAAGGAATGAGGCCCTGTCGCGACAAAACAGCAGTGAATCCCACTTCTCTATTTGAGCGCCTTCAAATCGGCAAGGCGCTTGAATGTTGATACATGTTTGTTTGGATTTACTTAAAACTGAATGAAAATCATCATCAGAAATAAATCTCCTGTCAACAGTCCAGCTGACAAAAATTTGACCGCCAGTTAACAAACCGCCCCTGGTGTCCTCTATAGAAAGCGGACTGCCTAAACGTAGCAAACCCTGTCCTTTTTTAAAGCTATAATAAGAACTGAGCGGCACTTGCAAGATAATTAGGCCATTTATATGCCAAAGATTAGAGGCGTTACGAGAAAGTAACAAACACAAAAAAGAAGTAGAGAAAAGGACAAAAGACATTTGATAGGGAAGAAATAGTAGCAAACCACACCAGAGCCCTAGTCAACACCCACCAATCTAGAGAATACTACAGGTACATTCTATTGTCCTTTTCTCTCCTCCTTTTTTGTGTTTGTCACTCTCTTATAATGCCTCTAATCTTGGGCATTTAAATGGCCAAATAAATTGTCTTGCAAGTGCTGCGCAACTCTCAGTAAACTAAAAAGTACATGGTTGGCAAAATTGAGGCAGTCCGCTTTCTATAGAGGACACGTTGTATGTATGTCTATGATGACATAAGGTAAAGAAAGCTTGTCGTGCACGTCCTCACACGTTAACCCCACTTCACTCAGAATTACATTTCAGTGTTATTTTTATAGCTCCCTAGACTGACTGCTTTTTATGAGGTAAAGCCTCTTCTACTTTCGGATATACACTGCAAAAATAAACCTCCTCCCACAAGATTCGAACTCACGTATGTTATGTGCAACGGCTAATATTTCAACCACGGCACCACAGACGATGGTCCCCTTTTAGATAAAATCCACCTGTGCGAAATCGTAGGAGTTTAAAGACCTTTGCGACTCAGTAAGTTAAATTAACTCAAGTCGCGGGACCTCCGGATTCAATATCTCTCTACGATAGTATCAAGCCAAATTGGAACATAATAGTGATATACGGGTAGAGTGCCTTTCCCAAGGATACAATGTCGGACAGACCTTGCTCAGCCTGAGTCTCCGAACCCGTTTTCCCGCGATTACATGAGCCTGATAGCGTAACCAGTAGATTAACGACGCCAGGAGCTATGCCTAGTGTTAAGCTTAGCTGAAGAAAAAAACAATAACTCAAGCTGCGACCAAGCCATTGTCACATGAAACTGTACTGATATCCCCGCCATATAATAATTGCATCATTAACATTAAAATCGTTACAATGATAATGTATTCTGTGTCAAAATTTTTTTTTGTGCTGGACTCTCTTCAAGCCGACAATGAACGATAAGCAAATGACAAGGCTTCAAACCGTACGATGAATTCAGATTTATGTTCATGATCTACATGTAATCCGCCTTTTATCACCAAGATGCCATCAGGATTGTTGCATACTTTACTCCTCCGTTTTTCCACGATCAATTATAAAAATAATACTGTGTGACAAAAGCGTACCAGCCATAATTAGCAGTTGAACGCTGGTTGGTTGAAGTTCGGTAGTAGAGTATAATGGAGGGGAACCGCGCGTTCACATCAAACTCTCAGACTAGCGACAGCCGTTCCAACCCTTACACAACTCACTGCGCTGACAAGACTAACACTGTGCGTTGTCGTTGCTTTGGTTTGAACGCAAATAAGGGATAATGTTTAGTGCATTTTTTTGGGTAAGTGTTTTTACGGCGCTTGCAACTACATAAGGTCATAAGAGCGCGCGGGACACATTAAACATTTTCAGTTGGTAGGAATTTTTTAATTTTGCCCGGATGGCGGCCGAAGCCAACTCTTATCGATTTTAGACCAACAATGGATTTTTAACGTGAGCAACTTGCACACGGGACCTCAGAGATTTCTCCCCCTTGTCCGAGAAGGCTAGGTGTAGATCTTCCCTGCCAGAAGATAAGGGGTGTGGCTGAAAGACAGCAGTAAGGAGTCAAGGAGTAGCAGTAAAGACGCTGCAGAAAGAGTTAACAGCCTAGAGCAGGGAGCAAAGAAGGTGAAGGGGTGGGGGCACAAAGTGGAGACGAAAGCAGAAGACAGAACATTGTTAGAGAGCAGGAAAGGGGGTGAAAGGAGACAATTTTAGAGACGAAAATTTTTCGGTCGTTACCCAGACTCGAAACCGGGACCTTTAAATGAGAGGCGAACGCCTTAACCTCAAGGCCACGAGAGCCTCCCTTTAGCATTAATTGGCTGGCCGACTGTTTTCGTTAGGACGACTGTCGCTCGTCCGAGTGTTTGGTGTGAAGGCGCAGGAAGTTTGAGGACAGACTTTAGGAGGGGAGTAGATGCAAAGTTGGACTGAGTATGTAGGATGCCTGAGGCCCGCTTGGATAGTAGGCCCCCATTCCTACTCGCCCTAATGCATACATCACAGACAAGTAACATAAGTCCTTAATATATATATAAATTAGACATTTTAAGTTAGGAAATACTGAATTAGGACTATTGCTTCAGTGTTATTATATTGTATTATTGAATGAACGCGAAACGATAATGAAATAAACACAAGCTGTTCTTACCAAATTTATTTTCACCGAAATTCTGTTAAAATTATCACCGAGCAGGGGCGAAGCGTCTATATAATCAATTAATCACTGCTTCCCTTTCTAATTTTGAAACATTGTCGCTGTCAAATTCATCCTTAAACGTAAACCTCATAAATTAAATGTCAAAAGACGTTCGTAATCAACAAATAAAGTGAGGCTGGAATAGAGTTGAAGGGAACATGTGCATGGCAGTCAAAGCTGTTTCATTGCCACATATACCCTGTTCACCCCTTTGGGGCCACAGTTAAAATCAATCACCAGCCCTGATTAAGTAAGCTAACTAACACTGGTCGAGTCTACCTCACAAATGTGAGGGGAACTAACTCTTAATAATCTCTTGACTGCTGCTTGTGCTTGGTTTTTTTCCTCGACTTTTTACCGTCCTATAATTAGATCGTGACCTCGATTATGACACCAGCTCCTGGCCGCGAAAGGCTAACAAAAACAGCCAAATGTGAAATTTAAAAAATAATAATTGTCATGTTCTACCAAAGAGTTAGATTCACTGGTAGATCTATAACATATAGATCTAGTACTGACATCTCTGCTTCTTTGCTTTATGTTTATGTATTCACATCTAAAGTTAAGTTTAATTTTAGTGGGAACTGATATTTAATAAGATACTTTCCCGATTATTTTGGCGGTTGAACATACAATATGAATTCCGGATTTGTTTTCATTCACAACTCAGAGTCGCCGCCTCGAGTAAGATTCTTGTGTGATATCTACAGGCCCTATCTGGTCCCATTTCACTTTGATTACCCTGTCAAACAAGTCAGCCTTCGCCCCTGTCACCGAGTGTCTAAAAAAGAAGGACCCAGTAAAAGAGCAATAACTCGGTTATCTATGAACCAATTATAACAAAATTTCGAAGAAATAAAAATCAACCATGTGGACAGTAGGGTACGTTTGTGAATATGAAAGTTATCAATCAAAATATTCGAAAAATATCTTTTTTTTCAAACTTTCAATCAAAATTGAGTGTTTTAGTTTAGTATGGGGTTTTACGGCGCTCGCAACTGCATAAGGTCATATGAGCGCGCGAAACACAAGTTAGTTTTTTAT